GCCCTAACGCACCATGAGAACTGGATCGCGTGGCCGAACCGGGAGGCGGGAAAAGGGAAAAACCGAGGTTGGAGGCAGAACCTTCTGAATGATGGGCTGCATTGGTTTGTTGTCTTGGGTTTGTTGCTTTGTTGTAGAAGGCAAGAAATAATATGGTATGGATGTTGGTATGATTTCTGCCTTTTTTACTTGGGTATTCAATTGTTTTGATTCCAGGTGTTGAAGTTATTGTAGAATTCGTTGAAGATTATTTGGTTCTTGCTGTGTTGGTTGTTAGTTTGCTTCGCACATGGGATGAAACACATATGTTGAATGGTTTGAAATGTGCCCGGGCTGCCAATGACATGTCTTCGCACGCCCTATCCTTTGAACGGCCGACGCAGTACCACGCTTATGAAGATGTTATGGGTTGAGGAGTAGGTGTATAGTTGCATACCAGCTTTTCATTGTTACGCAGTGTTTGCTCCACCAGTCATTTCATGTTCAGCGTGGTTTAGCCGGCGCAGGTGAACGTAAACAAACCACATGACTACTGAACCTTGTGACTCCCCGTTTGAATCGTGTATCAAGAGGTCATTTGAATTGCCTCCTCCATCAAGCTTGACAGCAGCAGCGGGCAATAAGTGCATGCGTAGACATCCTGCAAATGGGCCAACATCATGTTGGTGAATGGCCAATACTCACCGGGGTCAGTATCTTGATAGTGTCTGAGGGGGTGATCAAAGTCAGAAATCGGCGGGTTGTTTCCCTTTCACCTACTCGTGCCACTGAACGGGGGTGACTTTGATGATGGTACAACAATGGGGCCCCGTTTCCCCCGCTTTGAACGTGTTGAAAAACAGATCGAATCGGAAGCCAAACGCCGAGGTGCCAGTTCCCCTGCTTTCTCTTGGAATTACTTGGGTGTGTCTTTTTTTGATGGTACATGTTTTTCTTTTTTTCGTGGTTTTAAGGGACAACTAAAACGAACAACCTTTGTTGTCATTTTTTTTTGGCGGCGGGGGGGGGGGGGGCGTCCCATCTGAAAAAAGGGCCAGCCACCGGTTCGAACAGACCCGCAACTAAGGCCATGAGCCACGGCCGTCCGCCAATCGAGCGGCCCCTAAACCGATTCCCATGGTCGCCATATTGGTCGATAGTTCTACTTGTTGGAAGTTTATAGCGGACGATCTGGCACCACTTGGGAGAGGTGAAGCCCTACTAGGTCCCCCAGTAGTGCCCTTTTACCCCTTTTTTGGGGAGGGTTCCCCTTCTAAAATAGACTACAGAAAAAAGGGTACCCTTATTCTAACCTCTCTACTGGAGGACCTAGCCTACAATGGTTGTCCAATCTCAACTGGTGCGAAATGGATTGTGTCCTTCCGCAGTAGGAGCGACATGAACCGTTGATGTTAGGACCATTGAGTCGATCGATTGCCATGCTTGAGTCAGGCAATAGCGAGCTCAGAAAAGGAACCATTTCCACACGCTTGTTTTTTGATTTGGGTGACGGTTTACAGAAAGTGTAGCCGGTTGATTCCCACGTTCTTCTTTGGGGCACGCGAGCGCGGAATCTTTTGCAGGCGCTCGAGGCTACTCGAGAGTACCTGCATTCGGAGGCAGGGAGATGTTTTTGTGTCGGCGTGCGTGCTCCGAACGCAGGGTTGCTAAACGGATACATTTGGGTATGTTGTTTTGTAGGGCCCCCCAATTGTATTTCGGTTTCGTGTTGGTTTCCCTTTAAAACCCACCAAGAAGGGGTACGAACTCCAAAAAAAGGCGCGCCACCAATTTGATCATTGTGAAATTCACATTTGCCATCTCGCCACCTTTTTGTGAGCCAGGTGTTTTTGGATTTGTCTGGGAGCCCTGAGAGTGGGTTTTTGTTTCTCTGCCGTGGACATTTTTGTTGGACGGCGTTTTCTCGGGGAAACGGGAACACGTTAACAGCAAATCCGCATTTTTGTCAAGGGCTCTCGGAAACAGGTCGCCAGAGTTTAATGTTAACCCCGGGTTAATAAACCCATGGTTGATTAATAGGGGGGGTGTCCCCTTTTAGTGGGGATTCATCACTTTTGGAGGGACGGGTGAATTAATCCTGGGTCAACATTACATGGGATACATGCATGGCGATGGCACGTGTGAGGGGACCCCAATTGTGATTTGCTTAAAAGTTTGGGGGTGTCTTTCTTTGAGGAAGCATTCTGGGGGTTGGTTTAGGAAACCAAAAGGACTACTATTCATTTTGGTTGGATTCCGATTTTGAGACAAACCCAACTACGGAGCCATTGGTCCAAAGCGCCCCACTCTTAGCACCTTTGGCATGGTTTGATCCACTTCCCAGTTTCCTGGCGACTCACAGGCTGAATCTAGGAACCCATGAGCCCTGGTGTGAGCCCATTGCGTTTTTCAGTAAACAACAACAGCGTGAGAGTTGACTTGGCATTCCACATCTTTGACGTGGGCCCGGCATGCCCAGGAAGTGATAAGTCAAAACGGCAGGTTGCGCATTCTCACGCGGCCAGAATAGTTCCTCACTCCAAGGTGATTCGATCTGAGACCTTTGGGTTTTCCTATGGTCCGTTTTGGGTGGCCCCCAAAAGGTGATCATTTTTTGCCTCCGGGTCCGAACTGGGCAAGTCAGGTTCTCTGAACTCGACCCTCTAGGCCTTCAGAACCTTTCCTTGGGCCTTTTGGCTTCCCCGAGTCCCAAATCTTAGGACATAAATCCCATAATATGTGTGTCAATATTTGTCCAAACCCCAAGGCCCCAAGGGATGTCCTTTTGGTTTCCCTGAAAAAACCCGCCGGAACGAGGGTTCCCTCAGCGCGCACGCAGGATGCGATGCTGGAGGAGGAACAGCTGTCCATGTCGGCCCCAAAAAAGTCCGCCCGACGCGGTTTTTCTCGTTCGGGGGGGGGGGGGTTCTCAAGTGGCAAGATACATCAGTTGCTATGGATCGTGGCAAGTTTTGGTTTGACAGTCCCCTACAAGGGGCGAACTACATCATTTGCTTCCATCGCCTCTGGACCTTCTGACCATGGCGTGGGCGAATCCTTGCGCGGTAATCTCTTGTTTTGTAGGTTTCTAGCTAAAATGGACTCTCCTGAAAATGTCCCTTCCACCTGGGTGAAGGGGTAGCTAATCTTCAAATCCTCCTTAGGGAACCCTCGGAGCGTTGGTTGCTTGGTTGCTTGGTTGTTTGGTGGGTTGGTTGCTTGTTTGCGTTTGCTGTGTGTGTGTGTATGTTTACCATGTTGCTTTGTGCCAACTTGAGGGAGCGTATCGTTACCTCGTTTCGCAGCCTTCTTGCCAACAGACGCCGTTTGAATTCATCACAGAGCAGTTAGTCGACAGTTGCACCAAACCGCACCTTGGTTGAGATGACCCTGCAAACAGCCACGGACAAGCACAGGAACCTCCCTGAGGACAGTAATTTGGTTTCCGAACTGTGCACTAAAACCATGGTGGGAGTCGGATAGTTTTCGGATTGCCAAACAAATGTGGGTGTCTTTTTTCAGGGCACCCTGGACCCCCGCGACATTGTTTTTCCCGTATATTATATATATATATATGTGATATATGTGATATTTTTATATATGTATGTGTAGGCATATAGTGTCCCTTTCAAACCACTCAAACAAGGCACCCCTCCAAGAAAGACCCGCCCAAATCCCAACCTCCAGCAGAGGCCGGGCTTTGTGTTGCAAGCCCGCCAGGTACCCCGACGTGCCTGTGTCCGAGGCAGGGTCTGAGATTGGAGGTTGGAGACCCTCAAACCTGGGTGGCTTGTGGTTTGATCTCCACCCCCCAAAAAATGGAATTGGGGCAGGGGGGAATTCCACATGTGGTGCTAGTTTCCTCTTTTTTTTTGTGGGGGAGTCCTAGATGAATGAAGTTGAGGGACCCCCCACCTACCCCTCTCCCTCTTAAGGTAGGGAGGGATGTGGTTTGCTTTTGGCTGACTTTAACTGATTCGAAAAATGGAGGGTCGTTTGTTGTGGGGAAACAAATGCCCCATGGATGGCAAGTTGATCAGGGAAACAGAGGAACATACGGGCCCAAATCTTTGAAGGGAGTTTGATCCATACTTGCTGGTGCTGTTGGGGAATGAACCCTTAGGGATCCCCTTAAAGGAAACCATAGGGGATGGTTTACAAGGGGTCATTCCCCTATAAATCCCTCATTCCCTACTGAGCACCAGCAAGCATATTAGGTGTTCATGATAAAACGGTGTGTCATGGATTTCCCCTTTGGGACAAGACCCCGAATGATCCGCTGCTGGCTCATTCACTGCGAGTGAGTCGAATACCAGTTAACGTGGCGGCTCTTTGGTTTTACCACATCTGCAAGGAGAGACGTTTTTGATGTTCATTGCGCTACAAAAAGCCTAACAATTTGTTGCTCCTTCAAGGCAGAGGGAGCAAGCCAGCTAAGAGCCCATTTCTAAGCAGCCAGCTCCAGGAAATGCTACTGGAAGCTAGCCCCAACTGGGTGTTTCTCAAATTCGGGAGACCATCCAGGAGGTTGGTTTCTTGTTTCCCTTTAAAGCCATGCTAAAAGGGGGTCCTAATTTTGAGAAGCACCCAGCTGGGTTGTGGGATTTTTCGGGATTGTTCCCCACTTCTGAGGGAATCTCCCGCGTTATGGGCTTAGTCTTTGGGAAGCCCTTTCCGATGTGTCACAGAAGTGGATTCCATTTCCCACAGCCCTGAGCTTGGTTTTGTGGCAAAAGGCCTTGTCGACTTCCCTGGCCCATCAGGAGCTCTTTAGCAAGCTTCCTCTTTGGCCTGAAGCTCAGTCAGTTTTCCCACAGGATTTGGCGCACCAAAGCGAGAAAAGTCGAGGGTCTTTCAATTTGTTTTTAAGGTGATTCAATCATCGCACTTGGGTCTGTCTTTTTTGGAGAGTACCTGTTTTTTGCTTGGTTTTAACGGGAAGCTACAAGGAAAACTACCATTTTGGGGGCTACCCGGCACACTGGTTCCGTAATTATTTCTCGGCGCTCCGGATGGGCGGGTCAGAGCCGATGGCTCTGTTGCATGTTGCTTGCAATGCAGACGCCAGTGGATGGTTTCCTTTCGCATTCCCTTCAGTGCAAAGTCGTCAAGGAATTCCTATTTCCGGATATCAACATTTGCAGATGTGTCTTGCCCAGAGGCTCCTGGGGCTTTTAATGGAAGACCCGACCCCTCCATTAGACACCCGGCTTCAGTGGTTGGGGGTCTCAAAACCAGGTTGTTTGAAGGCCCTACATCAATCGGGATCCTCTTGGAAGAAGCAGACTCTCTTCAGTCCACCAAAGGAGGGTTCTGCATTTGCTTGATTTCGGTTGGGATGATCTGATGGTACTCGGTCCTTTTCGGCACATGTGTGACTGATTTTCACTTCGGGATTTCCTTTGTTTCCCTCACTGGCAGACGAGGTTGGCTCATGTCTGGTCGGCCGATCAGCCCTTGAGTTGTTACTTCCTGGACTCTATACTTTTTTGGGACGACTGCAGGCGTCGCACTTTTGGTCGGCCCATCCACTCGGGAAGTGAGGCCAGGACACGATCTGATGTTCCATCGAACTGGCAAGTCCGTGAGTGCAGACACCATGAAAGGTTCACAAGCTCGTTTAAACCCATGGCTAAAACAACACTTTGTTTGAGGAAGTGTTGGTTTAAGCAGAAATTTGGGCAGAGGGAAATCTGAGGGAATAAATGCGTGTGACCTTTTTAGAGTTGGTACATGGTTTGCTTCTTTTTGTTTACGGGATTTTGGAGGGTCCCCACAAAAATCTCACCCAAAAACATCATGTTAACCCCGGATTATGAAGCCCTGTTTATTCATAGGGATTCCCTGGGTGAAAATGTGTGGTTTCCACGCGATTCAAGCCAAGAGTTATGAGTACAGGATATACTGTGAGTAGTTGTTTAGCCACTGTGTTCAATGCGTTCCCACAGCAAGAAAAGCAACCCCATGGCGTTTTGCTTCTTGGCGGCAGGTGTGGAGAGTAGTGTTGGGCCACTTTCTGTGATCTGAAGGGGGTCCACTTGCGAATGACCCATATTGAAATCACAAGGGTGGATGCTCCACCGTGCTCGGGGAATGTAAACATCATGTCCTTGCCATGTTGGGTTCTGAGTGTTCCAAAAGGAAGGGGAAAAGGGAACAGAAACGGATGAACAAGGGACCATCATACCGTATCGTTTTTTGAGCGTTTCTGGTCTTATGGGTTTTGCAGGTAGGGTATCTGTTTTGGTCCATGTCCTACGGGTTTCTTGCTCAAACCACTGGGACCGACACCGAGATTATATCCCACTGGCCATCCCCTGTCCCCTGGGACCCTGACGCGAAATGGTGATGATGTTTAAAGGGCTGGCATTTCACTTGGAGCTTTCGACTTGATTTCCCTTTGACGCACAACCCAAAACTCGGCTTTTTTCAGGACATTCCTCTACCGGTTTGGATACGGGGAAGAAAAACAAGCAAAACAAAGCACACCAACTCGCCTAGGCCCGCCGGCTGCCGCCCGGAGTTGCGGACCTTCATGTTCCACGCACCGCTGGCGGAACTTCACGCGGCCGTGTTTTCAGCTCAGGTCATTTGAGACCTTTCCGAGGGGGCTTTTCTATGTGGGGAGCTTAATGTTGACCCAAAATTGATGCATGTTCTATCAATAGGGGGGTGGCTCCCTTCAAACCTCACTAAACCCAAGGGCACCACACTCTATGAATAAACTGGGGTTGAATAATCTGCTTGCTGGGGTCATCACTTGCGTGACTTTGATGGTAAGGCCAGTTGAAAGTGTTCTCAACCATTTCCTGGAGGGGTTCCCTAACAGGACGTGCTAGGTGTGATTTTTGTTGAGACGACGATTCGTAGCAGTGAAGAGATAGCCACAGCTTTCCTGCATGGCTTTGATGGATAAACCTCTTTGCAGCCCAGCTGCAAGTTTCACAGTGGAACTACGCTCACACAGTATGAGCTTTTCTATGGCCGTGACCGTCGTGCTTATTTTTTGGTTTGTTTGAACGGCGGCGATCCCCACCCTGGTATGGCTTGATTTAAAGCGATGCCAGAAAGAGAAGCCGAAAGGAAACGACCCAGTTTTTTTTTTTTCCCTAAGGATCCCAACTCCTTTCGGGGCGTCGTTCATGCTCGGGCCCTCGGGGACTTTTTGTGGAGGGTCCAATGGTCACGACCCCTCAATCTGAGGGCCCCGTAACCAAGTGCCAGAAGTGCCGCAGCTCTTTTGCTGGCTGTGGAGAGCTTCATGCCCGACTACTACAAAGCCGACGCCTCAGCTGGGAGAGTTCTAAATGCATCACAGCAAGGTATCTCTGAATGGTCCGTGATGAAATTGTGCTTCGGTGGGTTGCCCTTGCTATTCTTCCAATTTTGCCCATCCAGGATTCTGCTGAAAGCAACAGTGCCGATCTGGGGTTGATTTGGTCAGCTTCGGTCGCCAAGGCTAGGTGATACAGGTGGTGGTGCTTGGGTAAAAGCATCCAGCACCGTCGCCCCACTTGCTTTCCCCTTTTGAACGAAGATTGCTTGTGAAGCCAGGCGTAAGATTGGAGATGAAGCAACATCAAAGTGCAAAATTGGTTCGCCTCGCTCCTTGTCAAAATAGCGCCGCCCTCTTTCATAACATTCAACGCCTTGCAGTAGGAGAACACGCACACAGACACAGTTCTGTCCTCTATGTTAGCGTCTGGCCGTGCAGCCCACTCCGCCGCGAGATGCGCTAACCAAAAGCTCACACATTTGGAGGCCACTGCCTTAGAGTTAAGCACCGGCCACATTGTGCGATGCTTCCTGTTGACACGCGCGCATGTAAAGCGAGGCTGGCTCGCGCACAGCTTGTGCAACTTCTTCCACTGCAAAAAGCCCCGGTGGGCTGCTCGAAGTTTCTCCTGCAGCTTCTCGTCGTAGCGACCGCCAGACATATCGCCCCACATCCCACTCTCGCACAGGAAAACCAAGCAAGAAGCGTTGAGTACTTTTCCCGTGCCAAGATACTGTGAGTGGGCAATATCATGCATCACCCGTTGTGGGTGGCAGCCAGGTATTGAGTACAGCACGCACGTGCGCTGAAGGTCTTGGGTGTCATACACCCGCATGGTGTTTGCGTGCAGTGCTTCTCTGCGAAAATCGGCAAGCGTCATCGAAAGCAAGCGGTGGGTCTTAACGCACAAGCATGTTCCACAAAACTCGTTTTGCCGGAAATTGTGTATACCACCATAGTGTTGCACGACCCATTTTTGATCACCGTGCAGGCTTGACATCACAAAATGAAAGCCAGCTTGTTCCCAAGGGTACCTGCGTGACTGAGACCCAGCAACCATTTGACAAATCCGTTCTGAAACCTTCGTCATGATGTCGCTGTAGGTGAAAAAACACTCCTCGTGTTCGCTGTAGCACGCAATCAAAAAGTATCGCTGCATGAATGGAAGAGTAGTTGCCAGATCAGAACACCATCCTACAATCGAAACTGTCCCACATTCACTGTTGCGGTATGCCACAATTTCATCCCCATATACTCCTAGGGGAATCACCTTCCCCCAATCATAAGGTTCATCTTTCGCAGGGTGCGTTGAAAACCACGCAGATGACCGGACATGCGCCCAATACTCCGCAACCGACCCGTCACCCAGCAGGCAACTCTGGAAAACTTCAGGCGACAAGGCCCAAAGGGCGGCTGCCATGTCGTCAGGAAATATGACGTCCAACTCCTGGATGTCTGAGGGTTCCACATGCGAGTCGGAACAGAAGACACGTTTGCACCCACACGCTGTTGAAAAGTCCGGATCAATGTTTGAAAGTCCCGCTCCACATTGCCGCTGTATCGTCCGCCTGTGCCTGTTTGGGCCACCCGCTGAACAAGATCAGCGTCAGTAACAGACCCGCCACGCTCTTTGCACCATGCCACTGCAGAAGCTGCTGTCTGCTGAACCTCGCAGGCCGAGCGGCAGGCACTTGCTTGCCGACATGTTCACACATGTTCGGTTTCCTGGTTTCCTGCGTTTTATTTTTTTCAAAAAAACTGATAAAGCAAGAGCGTCACCCTTTCTGAAGCAAACAAGTGTTGAGGACCCGTGAGTTGCCAACATTAAGTTTACGCCACTGAAGTTCACCGAGGTCTGAACTAACCACTAAAACGTGTTAATTCCCAGCCAGGGTTCTTGGCAGGCACTGTTTTTCCCTGTAGCGTAGCTTTCAACCAGAAGAACCCCAAAGGGCTTCACCTCTTGCTCCCTTCTGGATGGGACTGCGGCAGCCCTTGCCGCGTTGATGCGCGGCGTGTTATACGGCCTCAGCTGAGGTCGCTCTGATGGATCTGCCGGAACCTCAGGGGGGGCCGCGGTTGCGCTAGCAAGTTCCGAGCGGCCTTTTTCCATTTGTTTCAATCTGGTTAGGGTCCTGACAAATAGCACTTCAATAGCTGTACTTCGGTCCCGAAACTTTTTGTATGCGTGAGCTTCGGCGCAGTTAGATTCTATATGAATTGCATCCAGTTTTCTTTATTTTTCAGAGCTGGTCGGGTGAAGAACATTTGTTCCTGAAGGGGCAGGGCAATCATATGCTTTTGCCAAGGCGTTGTTCAAAGAGTTCAGGTCCAAACTCTATTGCAGTATGCTTTTAAAGCCCAAACCCAAGTCCTGGCACTCATCCAAGCTGCTTCCCGGGTGAGAAAGTCCTGACAAACAGAGTCTCGGACCAAGCTCAAACCATATCAGGCTCGACATGATGCTTTTCAAGGCGCACGCGCGTTTGTGTTTCCAGCCGGACACCCCTCCGCACCCACGAAGAGGCGTGCTTTCACGCCCCCCCATTCTAATTGCGTTGGCCAAGCAACGCAAACACCCCTATATATGAGGCATTGTTGGCTGGGACCGTCACCGCAAGGGTGTCCATTTCCATTCAAGCTTTAGCAAACGGGGGTGGACCTTGAAATGCTTTTTCTTTTGTTTGTGACGTCCCAACAATGCACGACCCGCATCACTCATCGTCGGCCAAGGAATCTTCCTGCCAAAGCATGCCAGCACGAGCAGCCGAGGTTGAGGTGGGGGGAAGGGGGTTGCAACGCCCTGCCTTGACTCTTTTCTTGCCCTTCTGGTTGCAAATCTGGTTGGCGACTTCCGCATCATCATGATAGTGATCGCGTGCTTCGCAAATCTCCGGAATCAACTCAGCAATTCTGTCCCAGTCCTGCGAGTTCCACGTACTGGTTGGTTCGTCAATTCTGTTCGTATGCCATCAAAATCCGTTTATCCCAGCCTGATTTGCCGAGAGCGCTTGCAACTGAAAAAAAGTTTCTTCCATAGTGCGCGCGTGGACAGTCAAAGTGTCACCTCATCCGCGCATCATTACGAGGCAAACAAACGCAAAGCATGGTTCAAGCCACTAGTGCGGACATGTGGCGCAAGCTTTCTTGGTGCTTAAACTTGGCCAGCTTGAGTGGCCACATCTTCGCATTTGTGACGTCGTTCAGGAGTTTCGGCAGAAGCCACGCCAGCGCTCGATCAGGTTCTTCCGCAGGGTCCGGCATTTGCTTCTGCCTTGCGCGGGTAGAGCGCGCACTTGATAAAACTCCGTCACGGATAAACCATAAGAGTCCCCAGATCCAGCCTTGAGAGTGTATAAGTTCTGAAACCACTCCCCATTTTCCCGGTTCCTTCTCTAAGAGGGCCTGCCTTTTCAAAAAACGGGGTGTTTGGTGACTGCTGGGAAGGGGTCCCTAAGACTGGAAGAGAGCTTGGTGGGAGAAAACGTGAGTAGTATTTGTTTCAAGCTTGGCCTTTGTAGTTTCGGAAAGGTGCACCCAAACAGTTTTTAAGCTTGAAAAAGGGACGCCCTGGGCCAAGCAAAGGACCTATCTACCACGGCGAGTGCTCTATTCTTGCCGAGCAAGAGGCGCTTTCTTCTTGCTCGATGCCTTCTTTGCCGAAGGCTTGACACCGGCCACCACTGGAGCTGGAGCCCCAGTAGCGGCAGGGGCGCATTTGACCGACACGCCAATCGACGAAGTGTTCGAAAAGGCCACCATATTGACATCTTTCATCATTTTCTGGGAAGCCTTCAAGGGCAAGCTGGCGCAACCATAAAGCGGATTCATGCAAACACTGCGTAAGCCATCGCCTGAGCCCCTGTTTCCATTGTGGCATTGACCTCCATGGAAACAGCATCTGTGAACTCTTCCTGCTCGCTCCGCCCAAGTTCCACTACCACCTCAGAATGGAAACGGCCACGAAACTGTGAAGCAATGAAAGCCCATTTGTTTCGCCCAACCCGGACGTTGCGATGCATGGATTATCCTTAGTCAAGGAAGTAGGGGTATGCGACGCACTGGGTTTAGGCGAGAGCTGAAAATGCGTTACATGAGTGCGCCCAGCAACCCCAAATCTGTTTCATTGAGCCCCCCAGTGTGTGGGCCAATTGGCATCCATGGCACGTAGTACATCTTAGCTCCAGGAATGTCCGGGTGTTCTTGAACCAGACCTTGTTGCTCCTTTTGCTGAATCACCTGGTCTACTGAGATAGCATCCCCTCCAT